TATAATGTTTACTTGCAAAGGCAGCACACCAGAACAAAACAGTATATGAGCTGATGAGTTAAATCAACTTTATTTCACAATAACTACATACTTTAAACCACTAACCATTCAGAAATGTACTGGTTCAGTCTAGAAGTTGTAACCTCTTCTTCTTTATCACCGTCCAGTTGAACATGTTAGGCTTCAATCCACTCCTGGGGCCTCATGTACTATGACTTGCGTTGAATTCATACTAAAACATTTACAGCTTTGTGCGTACGCAGTAAAAAATTCAGACGTATGAAACACTGCGTACGTCGAATCCCACGCGTATTCTCTTTGTACATCCGAATTAATGTGAAACTAAGCACACGTGCATGCGCAAAACCCCTCCCTGCCTCCTCCCCCATATGAATATGCTAATGACTCTACTTTGGCGAAACCAAGCGAAAAAGCAATGTCAAAAGCAAGGAAAAAGAGAAACTTTAAACAGAATGTGAGTTGGAGGTGCTTTTTTCGGAGGTAGACCGGAGAAAAATGGTGTTATTTGCAAGTTAGCCTCCGGAATTAATAACAAAAGAAAAAAATAGAGTGGGAGACTTTAGCTGATGCGGTTAACACAGTTGGGTCTGAACATCGACATCGACATTGAATCCAGCGTCTGATGACAGCGTCTGACTCATTCTTATTTCCCCCCCCCCCTCCCCCCACTACATATCAGATTTTGCCTAGTATTTATCACGAGGAAGATAAAAGTAGGAATCATTAATAAGTCTGTGCATCATATTTTATTTGCACATTTATTGAATGGAAATGTTTCTGATTCATGTATGGAAATTCATCTTCAGATGGCGCCTTTATAGCAATGTGTGTGCAGTAGATCGCTCCGATTACATTGGGAAAACAGAGGGCCGCTGCAAATTGCGTTTTAATGTTTGGCTGGTCAACTACATGGTATGGAAACCTTGTATACCTGCTAGACATGCAGATGAACCTGTCACACAGCTGCCATTGCACCATGGCTCAAAGACACTTTGTAGAGAGGAATTTAACACAACTGCCTCTAGGAGTCGCCAATGGAAATAAAACAGACACGCACAAGAAATGTGCGTACGCCAGCCATGAAGTTGGCGTCATGCTGTGCACATTCCCCTGTTCATTTCATCGTTAGTAAATCCAAACGTGAGCAATTCTGAGCGTAAAACCTGGCGTACGCAAAGTTTTTGTTCGTACGCAGCGTTGATACATGAGGCCCCAGGTCTTTTTGGTTATTTTGGGAGCATATGATTTTACTTTTGTTGTATCTGGTGTGTCAGGCTGCATTTAGTGTTTTTTTTACAATGAAAGCAATCCTCATCCAGACTGTCAATTTTACTGCTTTCCAATCTTCATCGACAACCTGAGGCCCCGTTTACACTAATACATTTTGGCTTTAAAGCGCATGCATTTTGCTACGGTTACGCCATCTGTCTAGTTTTCGAGTGCTAAAAACTGAGCTTTTTGAAAATGCTGTTTGATATAAAAAACAAACTCCCGAGGACACGTCGGGTTAATCTTCAAAGTGAAAAATTTACTTTATAATCTCATTCACATCACCCTGGCTAAATTGTTTCACTTTCTTAACAATAAAATGAAAACATGATATAAGGAACTGCTATTTTCATTTTGGTGTTAGCAACTTAGCAGACACCAAAAATGTTGAGGCGTCGTGAAGCTACATATTTATATGACTGTGATCTTCACTGTATGCATATTTATAACAAAATGGAGCCTATACCATAACTTTCTCCTTTCATTTTCATTGAAATTACGAAACACACCCTCTCTTTTGCTGGAAATCAGTTTCAATAATCAATAATGGCCATTGTAAAAGTATAACGGACATTAAAATTATACACATCTAGCGGTAGATTCCTGATGAACAGTTGCTGCAGTGCATGCTAGAGTGTGTGTGTGTGTGTGTGTGTGTGTGTGTGTGTGTGTGTGGTCACGTGCATGTGTGTTTTAAGTGGTATAGTGTGGACGGAGAGTTGTTCAGAAATGCTAGGTGAAATGCCATTGTGGACGCGGATCGTTTTCATTCTAAAACGCCGTTTTAAAACTTAAGTGTTTTTATGTTATGTTATGTTAAACGGAACCTAAAACACATGATATGTGACCATTCATGCTCATTGGGCATGTAGATATTGTGCCAGCATCTGTACTTGAAAGGGCTACCTCTTGTGTGTGGTCATATGAAAGGAGATTGATGCATAAGGGAACAATACGCCATACTACAGAATAGTCTGAGCCTCTGTTTTTAAAATTGTTCATTTCTGTCCGTCTATTCTGAAATGAAACACCAGTGTTTTAAATTAAAAGGAGACTTTAATATTTTCAAAATGCTGTTTTTGCTGGTCAATAAGACATAAGTGCAACAAAACATGCATTTTAACAAGAAAACACACCACTGTAAACAGCACCTTAGAGTAGCGTTTAGATGTGGGTTATTAGCACTTAAAGAGACACACAAAAACCTAAATAAAGCGAAACTTGACAAGCTATATAAAATGATCTGTGAGGTATTTTAAGCTAAAACATCTCAGACACATTCTGGGGATATTAGAGACTTGTAATATATCCTATAAAAGGCATAATATATTTCCTTTTACCCGAACAAACTGTAAATTTAAATGATCACTAAGACCTGTTTCAGAGCATATCCCTCTAAAGCTGTTCAGAAGTATTCAGGCCTTTGGGTAGAAAATCTCCCCCTGGAAAGTTTGCTGACACTGAATGACTCATGCATGAGCTGCAAAGGGGGGAAGGGTCCGTCTGTGTGTGTGTTTTGGTTTGTGTGCATGTCAGTGTGTGTGTTACTTAGTGAGGGTGGAACCAGTAATCACAGTTCATGGGAAAGGAAAGAACGGGCCAGATTTTAGATGTGACGACACCCTTCTTGAACACAGACTGCATTAGATTATAGTTGGACGCTTGGGAGGCTTTGGAAAGCAGGAGGGGTATTTCAGGAAACTCCTAAATTGTTACTCCAGGCACAACTTGGCAGCACGTGATTGGCTAAATCCCTGTTCACATGACTATGGCTGTGCTGTGGAGACTGGGGTACTGTAGCAGGGGGATATTAGAGAAACGCACGGGAAAAAGGTATAGAGAAAAGGAAGAGTCTATTGAAAATTATTTTTTAGAAGTGAGACATATTAAGTGACCTGAAAGATAATGACGTTTGTTTCAGGAAAAAAGAATGACATACATTCTGACAGCATCTAATCTAATCAGAATTAAGACCCTCCGTCTATTTTTAACATGCTCTTGAACTTAGTGCAGGACACATTCTTCTGTTATGGAGTGTTTTTAAGCATGTGTCATGTTAAACATTTTTTTAGAAACATGTTAAAACTAAAGTTACTTTTAATTGTACTTAAATCTATTTAGTTTTTAAAGGTCCTTGTAAACAGCCCATGATTGTGATGTAGTCAAACAAACCTGATATCAGTGCTCCATCTGCTGGTAGAAGAGAGTGTCACGTTTGGTAAATTATGAGTATTTCATTCATTCATTCATTTTCTTGTGGGCTTAGTCCCTTTATTAATCCGAGGTCGCCACAGCGGAATGAACCGCCAACATATCCTGCACATTTTTATGCAGCGGATGCCCTTCCAGCCGTAACCCATCTCTGACAAACATCCACACACACTCATTCACACAGACACTCATACAATTAAGCCTACCCAATTCACCTGTACCACATGTTTTTGGACTGTGGGAGAAATCGGAGCACCCGGAGGAAACCCACGCGAACGCAAGGAGAACATGCAAATTTCACACAGAAATGCCAACTGAGCTGAGGCTTGAACCAGCGACCCAGCGACCTTGCTGTGAGGCGACAGCACTACCTACTGCGTCGCCTATTATGAGAATTTTATTTATTTTAATTATTTGTTATCCATTATCCATGATGTGGATAATGTTAAATAAACCATAAAATACATAGCATAAAACACTTCAGATTATATTAAACATATATTATATGATCGATAAACCATGACTAAATTTAAGTAGACAATAAAAACACTAATACTGTTTATTGCGACAATATTATTAGCCTATCAATGTTAAAAACTTTTAATTATTATTATTATAATTGAAATGTGGTCATTTAACATGTAGTATTTTTAAAATTAAACATTATAAAAAAATCACTTTAACTAATGTAGTTTTCTTTTCATTATGTTGAAGGGGAGTTTGCAGTAGGCTCACACTAACACTCACTGTAGGCTAACACTCACAGTTTACGAAGTCTGACCAACATATGTAGAAGTTTTATATTGTTAGTTAGAATTTATTTAAATATCAAACTATTACAAAAATACAAATTATATGTACTTTCTCAATATCAGACTCCCTGTGCTATTTGAGAGCTGATGTACCTTGTCGGACACACATTTGTTACAGCATGAGAGGTTGCTGATCCAGATCTGTAGTTGTCCCAGTTTTCAAGGAGAACCACTAGTTGTCAGGGAAACTGTTGGCGGGAAGCTCTCTGGAGTGTTTCCACTTCGGCCATTTTTAGAGTATGTTATCAATCTTCAGTCCCCAGAAACTGAGGAAACATGGTGTGAGAGAGCAAGAGCAGGCATACACATGTATGTCTACCTTTGTGGGGAATTTGTGGTCCTGTTTCACACACTAGAGTTTTTGTTGTTTTAGTTTAGTGGCTGGGTTTCATGAGCTGCTGGAATAGAGATGTCAAACCACAAACATTCGTTTGTCAGAAGTAAACTTTATACATGGTAAATATAGCGATCCTTACCAACTTGTGTGTTTGTAGATGGTTAAATGTCAAATGGATAGTAAAAAGTCGACCTTTAAAAATGTAAACTCTGCAGTGCGGTTGCAGCTCGCCCTCTGGTGGTGAGAGTCTGGAAGGGAGCAAAGTTTATTTTCACCTAGTACCCAATTAAAGCATTGCTGCGGTGTGTCTGTGTTTTATTTATGTTGTTCATTTCTGTGTTTGTCAGCAGGAGGCTCAAAGCAAATCAAAGGTGTGTGCTAATGTGTTCTGTGGTGCTGGACGAGAGTGTGCCGTGAATGAGAAAGGAGAACCCAGCTGTCTGTGCATTGAGGTAATGATTCTCTTCACAGCAATTCATATGCAGTACAGTTCCATGACATTTATGTTTTCTTTGGATGACTGGGTGAGAATTTTAAAATATTTTATAGATGTATACCTAATCTTACAGCTTATTAAATAAAATTATTGCTGATAAAAAAAACTGAGTAACTGTAGAAAAAGGTATATTAATGATCTAATGCAGGGGTGGCCAACCCTGTTCTTGGAGAGCCACCTTCCTGCAGATTTCAGTTGCAACCCATATCAAACACACCTGCCTGTAATTATCACGTGGTGTTCAGGTCCTAATTAGTTGGTTCAGGTGTGTTTGATATGGGTTGCAACTGAAATCTGCAGGAAGGTGGCTCTCCAGGAACAGGGTGGGCCACCCCTGATCTAATGTTTGTGTGGTGTAGAAAGTTTGCTGACTTCTCCATATTTTAAAACGTTTTCTTTGTTATCTGATATGGTCTAATTTTCAATGGCTTTGGAAACACTGAATGTCTGTGATAGAAAGGAAGTACACATTAGTATACCTAAAGGGATAGTTCATCCCCCAAAAAATACATTTATGTCATCATTTTCTTGTTTTCTGTCTTCTTTATTACGTTAAACACAACAGAAAGATATACTGAAAAATGGTGGAAAGCAGTTGTTGACTTCCAAAGTGTTTCTGACTGGATGTCAGTGGCTTTCTTAAGAAGAACTTTTTTTATGTTTAACTGAAGAATAGTAATAATTAATGCTTAGTATTACTTCAGTGTGAGTAAATTGTAAAGACATTTACACTTTGGGTGAACAATTCCTTTAAAAAAATAACATTACATAAATAGCAAACTTTGAAAGAGCACACTTGAAATGCAACTAAAATGTTGTTTAATGTAATTTCTATTAAAACTTCTATATATTCTAGTTGCAATCAGAATTATTAGACTCCCCCCCTCACCCTTTTTCTTTATTAAATATTTCCCAAATGATGTTTAACAGAGCAAGGAAATTCTCACAGTATGTCTGATCATTTTCTGGAGAAAGTCTTATTTGTTTTATTTTGGCTTGAATAAAAGCAGTTTTTAATATTTGAAACACCATTTTGAGGTCAAAATGATTAGCCTCTTTAAGCTATATATTTTTTCGATCTATAGAACACGAGTCTATAGAAGAAACTATCGTTATACAAAATGTTGCATAGTTACCCTAACCTGCCTAGTTAACCTAATTAACCTAGTTAAGCCTTTAAACGTCACTTTAAGCTGTATAGAAGTGTCTTGAAAAACATCTAGTAAAATATTATGGACTGTCATCTTAGCAAAGATAAAAGAAATCAGTTATTAAAAATGAGTTATTAAAACTGTTTAGAAATGTGTTGAAACATTTTTCTCAGTTAAACAGAAATTGGGGGAAAAATAAAGGGGCTAATAATTATAATAAATCAACTGTATATATAACTGTGCATTTGAAATTAAGAAAATATGAATGTAATATTGAATGGAAGACAATGAATATCAAAAGTAATTTACATGTGCTTTTGTTTGTTAGTCAAACACATCAAAGAAAGCGTAGTTTGATTCTCAACAAACTAAAAACATGCTTATCGAACATGTACAGTACCTTTATAATCAATACATTATTACAAAATTCACTTTTTAAAATGAAACTTATTACACAACTCACTGGAATATTTGATTCTGATTGGTCAATCATGACATTCAAAGGTATGTTATTTCCAGAAAATGAATTGGCAATTAAACTATCACTGGAACATCCAGGGGGGTAACATCAATCACTTTGACCATAACTGAATATATATGTGCTTATCTGTCTCTTCACTGTGCTTGACTGTTTGGTGTCATCATGTGACTGAATAATAATAATAATAATAATAATAATAAAGTTAATAATAATAATAATAATAATAATAATAATAATAATAATATTGATACTAATAATAGTAATAATAGTAATAATAATAATTATAATAAAATTGATACTAATAATATTAATAATAATTATGCTAATAATAATAATAATAATAATAATAATAATAGTAGTAGTAGTAATACTACTACTACTAATAATAATAATAAAAATAATAATAATAATAATAATAATGATACTTATAATATTAATAATAATAATATTAATAATAATAATAATAATAATAATAATAATAATAATAATAATACAAAGTAGGATGGTGTAGTCAGCATCTATCCATTTTCCATTCCGACAGATTTAATTAATTTAATTAATAATTAATTTAATTGTCTGGTCATTTAAGTGTACATAAATAGTGTTCAGTTTCGTTAAATGCATTTTTTAAATCATTGTTCTACAATTACTAGTAAACTACTAGTTACGTCTATAATAATCTAGTTTTTGCTTCCTGATGGTTTTCTACACTAAAAATCATTCAGATATTAGCAGTTTTTTTGTATTTTGTGATTGTTTTTATGGTATTTCCCCCATTTATTTATGTTTTTAAATTGCATTATGGGACCCTAATCTTTTTTCCAACAACTTTTAACTTAAAAAATTTTGGAAAAAGTGACTTTCATTGACATTTTTAACAGTTTAAAGTGATATATTGTCTGGGTTTGTGTTGTATATTGCGGTATAAAACCTTTTAATAAACTGCCAGTATTTTCTGTCATTTAATAGACTTATCTCTCTCCATAAATTATTTCTCATACATTATATTAATTCAAACTACTAATATTAATAAAGGTCATTTTGTTAAACTGTAGAGTTGAATTTTCAACATCAAATGTCAACAGAGCAGAGATCAAAGTCTCATAATGCAATTTACAACAATAAATAAACTGAAAATACTTGTGAATCACAACATACAGAAACTGTTAATGAACAGATATTTATGTACCGTGTATCATCATGCCAGGTCTGATGCTATATTATTAGGATTATTTATCTCAAAATTATAGTCTCATAAACTTTTGCTCAATAACAGTACTGTATGTGTGGGATTGGGGTCATGTGTGATGTATAGACTTTGCTATGTGTCTACACAGCTCAGCAGATTATACAATCATACTATTGTGGTACCACCAGCCTGCTCTCCATACTTATATTTTATTACAGGCTTAGTGTCAGCTTTAAAGCAGAGGAAAATTAAATTAGAGTCACAGTGTCACAGAGCATTTAAACACCAGCCTTTGTTTATTTCATGCATTTTATTGTTGTTTGCAAGATAGATATTGTAATGTGGCAGTGGTGATGTTTTCATTGTTGTGTTCTCCTGCAGCAATGCAAGACTCATAAGCGCTCGGTGTGTGGCAGTAATGGAAAGACATACCGGAACCACTGCGAACTGCATCGTGATGCCTGTCTCACTGGACTGAAGATCCAAGTGGCTCATGATGGACACTGCAAAGGTGAGCATACAGAAGAACTTGAATCAGTAACAGCAGACTGATTAGGGATGATACAGACTAGAAATCAAATTTGCTGCTAATATAAAGTTCTATCATAAAACTCATTTGGGTGCACAGGATGATGGGTCCTATGCAATCTGCTTTCAACCACAGGAAGTGTGATGCAGGAGGACCTCAGCAGCCAATACGCTTGCTTCTCAACATTTACTGAACCACATCTCAGTGTTCCAATCTGCAGCACATTTACGGATACTCTTCTCCACCACAGCTCCAACTGTGTATTCAGTTTCAGTCTTCGCAGTTGCAATATTATAGTTAAATAAAATCGGCTATCAAAGTGGTCACTAGATAATGGCTTAAACTATATTGTAATGGTGCCATAGAATAAAAATCAGGATATACAGTACATAGGCAAAGCTGAGTGATAAGAGTACAGTACCTTGATTGAAATGACCATTGTTCCACTCCTTGTGAAAAACGGGCCAAAACACAGACTATTAATTTGCACACAAAATTAATAATATGCATGCCAGAGGCTGCATTTGATTGGCCACAACATTTCCTATATTTTTTCCCCTGATTTTTAGGTTTATCTTAGCTTGTATGATGTTATATGTGGGACTCTTATTTTGAAAACAGGACCAGCAGGACATGAACTCTGGGTATCATTAGGTAGTGGGCAGTTATAACGTCTAATTAACTGTATCTTTAGTTAGTTTAAAATGTATATCGGGAAACTTGCTAAGTACTTTTTAATGAGGCAACAGACACATTTACATTTGTAATGGAACACTGCTGAATTAGTGCTTAATGCAAGTTTTAATCTTGTTATGTCTCTCAGATTCTAAATAAGCATCTAAAACTATTTTTTTTATATCAGAGAACAATTTAATCAATGTACTCTATGGCACATTTAAATATCCTTTTTTAGATCAGAAATGACAGATTCTAAAATAAAAACATTACCAAAAAAAAGTAAGAAATATATATTTTTTTCTTTGGGTATCAGAATTCTGAAACAATATAATGAAAAATGCAATATTTACATGCATCTAACCATTTTAGGGTTGTCTTTAAAGTATGACTATTTTTATCAATTCACTCCAGGTGGATGTGACTAGGCACTCGGTTGAATGTAGAGAGGAAAACTTCTGTAAAAGAAATTCAAAATTTGCTGCAGAGCTGAAATGGTGATTCAAAAGATTTGTCATGTTAATTCTGGAAGAGCAAAACACTACCTGAAAATGCTTACACATGATAATAAACCAGTAAATAATTAACTGGAGACTCACTCTGACCAGATCATTTGAAGTCAGTGAGTTGCTGACTAGACAACAGATGAAATCACATCAATCCAATACACAAAGAGGTTTTCACTGGATTTGAAGACGGATTTAACAGATTAACTGTTAAGAATCAGCTTGTCCACAAATCAAACAGCGCTTCATGTCAGTTTCTCCAGTTCAAAGGAACATTATGCCCTGTTACATTTATGAATGTAGTGGATTAAAAAGTACAACATTATAAAAACAAGTGCAAAGGAAAATGTTTTGCTTGTGTTGTAGTAGTTTTTAACTTTCATGTTGAGAATATAAAAATATGACAATCTTTACAATTTACTTGGATGATAGATAGTTATTATACATGGATTTTTTCAAGCTTGATCACAATATAATCTGTTCAACTGGCCACCATTTCCTTGCAGAATATTACACTGTGAAAACTTTTAAAACTTTAAAGTCCCTTTAAGGCAAGTCATTTCACTCGGTGGCCACCAACACGTATCGGGCAGTATGCTTGGGTATTCTGTCTAAATAGGGCAACATCAAATTCTTCAAAACTGCTTACCAAGCTTACCATTAAATTTCAGATTAGGAATCACCAATAGAATTAAACAACAACTGTCTCTTTAGTTTCATTTCTAAACCTCCAAATCACAAACATCTGCAGAAACTCATGTCTGGTGTGAGCCCCTGCCCCAGAGTATCGTCAGTCTATAGCGATTAATGATTGGCTCCTGTACTAGAAGGCGGCCTTATTCACCAAATAGTGATCAATCATTGGCTCCTGTACTAGTAGGTGGGTCTTTATTCACCATATTGACTGTTGCACTTTTCCTCATTCAAAAAGATACGAGTGACACGTCTTGTGTATTCACTTGTCTAGTCATCTCAATCAAACTGCATAAAAATATTAAGTTAAACTTTGCAACTTTGCTCTAGAAAAAAATTGTTGAAACCTGATTTACTTATGTAAATAATTTAAAGTAACATAAAAATATTTGTAGTCATGTCTTTTTGTCGTAAATGTGCCATTTTTTTTTTTTTAGTAAAAGCATTGCTAAGATTAGCGTTTGACTCTTAAGTCTGATAATTAATCAGTCATTGCATCTTATAAAGAAACAATTTAGTGGGTAATTTTTCTAATTAAAATGTCATTTAGTCTTTTGATGCAAAGCTTAATTTTCAGCATCATTACTCCAGTCTTCAATGTCACACAGTCCCAGAGAAATCATTATATTATGAATATTTGCTGCCAAAAAAAGACATTCCTTGTAATTATCATTGTTAAATAAAACAACAAAGCATTTTATTTCAGCATTCTTTTATGAAGAGAAAATCCAACTAAAAGAATATGCTTGAAATAAAGACAAATTAGAAATATTTTTACTGTCACTACTAATCAATTAAATTGGATTGAATATTAACCAGCTGGGAACACACTGTCTGTGTTTTGAACACTCTGTGTTTATTACATGGTTATAAAAAATCAATTTTGAAATTGTTTGTGATGTTGGGAGCATGTGTACGCAGGAAAGGCATCATGGGAATCCTGACATCCGTCTGCAGCTACAGGCATTTGAATGGACCCATAGAGGGGTTATTTACTGTGGACAAAAGCAGTGTTTACATCTACTGTAGACTTGGGTTTAGATTGATCACGCCTTTCTGCTGGACAATAGGCTGATGTATTGATTCATTTAGCAATGTCCAACAACTAAGATCCATCGGGAACAGTTTATCTGCCTGGAACAGGACGTCTCTGCTAGTTTTTTTTTTTTACTATCAGAAGACCAGATTCTGTAACACTGACCTCTCCGACTCGCAATATTACCATCTCAGCAGTGTGATCATTGAACATTGAACATGCAGTCAAATCCAGGTGCAAATCTGATATCATGTAATTCTGACCTATTATATCACGGTATGCTGTGATGTGACGTTGTAACTTGTTATCTATTGGTGATGCAAAGAGCGACTGATTACCGAGGGAGGATTCTGGCATAATCACATGCAGATTGTTCACCTGAGAGATCAGTCCACTCACGTTTATCTCTCTCTCTCTTACAGAGAAGAAGAAGGAGAAGGCTGCGGCCAGTCCAGGTGAGTTGTAATATGGCCGTGGGCTCATAGCCAAACTATGATTACAGTACTTATCTGCGCAGATTACCTTTAATTACTGATATATTGTAAAGGCTTGGAGATACCGAGAGCAGACATAAACTCTCTGACTCTGCAGCAGGAGGATTATTGTACTTCGCACAACACAACTCTTTAGATGTGGAGAATGTATTTAACCTTGAACCCATTTTTGTCATTTAGTTTTGCGATTTTAAACCATTTGTAAGTTTTTAAACATTTAGTGTTTAGGATTAACAACCTAGTAGTTGAATTAGGTATTGCAGTGCAAATTCAGATTTTTAGGGGGGTGGGGGGAGGGGGGTTCATATGGCCCATTTACACTGAGTGGTACAGTACGGTATGGTATGGGTCGGTACGGGTCACCTTTATCAGGCTTGAAATTCCACTGCCAAAATGGTACCAATAGTATGGGTCGTTCATATATCATATGAGAAGCACTTCTCACAAAACAGATGCTTCATACAAATAAATACTTGTGTATATGTGTAAATGCTCATTACTACCTTTTCTATAGACAGGATTTGATTATACTGTAACTGCAGATCAATGATGCGAAATAGCCTACTGTAACGTCTGCAATTATATAAAATAAATAAATAAATAAATGCAACATATATGAACACATACAGAGCCTTAACCTTAGTTTATACTCGACGCATCCGCTAGTAGTCTTCATCACTGTGTTTGCGGAGGCACCACGTTTGATTTGAGTTGAATATGATTCACTTCGAAGAGATTTTGTCTGAAACAGGTACGGCTGTACAGACATCTTTATGATCTGTGATAATCGAGATAATCAATAATTATTGGCTAGAAACTGCAACAGCAGTGGGAAAGGAGGAAAGGTTTTGTTGAAAATTTATGGAAAAACCTGAGGGAAAAGTTTGTTAAAGCCAAAAGAGGCCATGGTAAAATTGTTTTTCCACCATTTATAGGTTTTATACTGATATAACAATTAAATATATTTAACACTTTTGAATTTAAAACAATTTAATAGTTACAAAACTATAAATAGAAAACACATTTCTATGATAACTGGAAAATAATATTTGAAGCTATTGGTTTACAATACACCGGTTCCCTGTTTTTCTAGGCTTTATTGGTGATAATGGTCAGGAATGTTAAACTATTATTACCTTTTTAACATAAAAAGAGGACAGAAACTAGCCAGACAGTAATGTGTCAACACTACGGACAATTTAGCCTACCCAATTCACCTGTCCCGCATGTCTTTGGACTGTGGGGGAAACCGGAGCACCCGGAGGAAACCCACGCGAACACAGGGAGAACATGCAAACTCCACACAGAATTGCCAACTGACCCAGCCGAGGCTCGAACCAGCGACCTTCTTGCTGTGAGGCGACAGCACTACCTACTGCGCCACCCATTCTTGCCATAATAAAAATATATATTTGTAGAGACCCATGTTCTCTTGTCATTAATATTTTAATAAACTTTAATAGGTAAAACTGTCTGAAATATAAACAAAAGCAAGTAAAGCATCAAAGTTTGATTAAAAAAATCTTGAATGGTCATAAAAATCCTCTTAATCATTAAAATATTTATAAAAATAATTTATTTAAAAATATTGAATGATATTAATGATATGACGTAGTTCTGGCAACTTTCTAATTCTCTGTTTGTCAATCTGACTTCACGGTGGGTTTATTTTGAACGCCCCCTGTCGTTTTAAAGAATATCACAATGGTGAACGCGGCAAGTATAAAAGCCTCGTCCGTTTTGTGACGTACACGCGCAGACAGTAGAGGTCTATGACTCGGCTCCAGGCTTTACAGTCTCCGATATGTTACAGATTACAGAAAATCATATCAACATATAACCCACAGTCAGTGCAAATGTCTCATCTGTATCTTTAATCTTCAGCAGCACATGTAACCTCTTGTTAGAAAGTAATTTCATCATTCCGAGTTCAGAATAGTCCAAAAGGCGATGATAATAGTTAAACAGGCAGGTTGTTTTAGGTTGCTGAAACAATCATTTGCTCCTTTGTTTTTTCTGCGTCTCTCTCGCATTAGTTTGTTTCTGAAAGGATCGGATGTTATAAGCACTTCAGTAATCAGGCTCACGTTATTATCATTAGCTCAAGAAGTTCGTTATTTTAAATATAGATGCACTGCAAACGCATGCGAGAAAGCAGAAATGATCGCACTTTAGAAAGTCTTGTAAACAACTACGGGGCACAAGATAATGTCTGCTCTTTTTCTTGGCTTTGTGGCTGTTCATCAAGATGATGACAAGGTTTGTCGACCATGGCTTGTTGTTGTATGTATATATTATTACAGTATCGGCTGTGTATTTAAAAATGGTGCATCCTTTGTTTTCATTCTCCTAGCTTGTGCACAAGCTAGTGACGTATCTCTCTTAACCAATTGCATTCAGCTGCGTGTCTTGCTCCACCTTTTGGTTACCTTTTGTTGTGCTAGGCACCTTTGGAAAGGGTACCCAAAAAGTGGCATGGTACAGTTCACTTTTTGATACCTTATCACAGTGGAAATGGCCATTAAAACGTATCGAACCATACCATACCACTCAGTGGATATGGGCCAATACAGTCTCTTCGGTTTCAACTCCATGCAAACGCTGGTAGCCAGATTGATGACACAAACCGAAGGCATGCCTGACAATTGAGCATGTAGGGTTGAAATGTATAAATACCAGAAATTAAAGCCTAAAACTAAAATTTCGCCACATTAGCAAGTGACTTTTTACTCAGCTATTAAACTGTATGTTTTATATGTTTATTCATTAATAAAATAGACCAGAACCAGTTTGAGAAACTGGTGAAATGACATCCACTGATGAGTAACATAGTTTGATATACCCGTCTATGCCTTTTTTTGCATGGATTTGGCACTGGAGAGCATTCATTTCAGGCCCTGCAAGAAAATACTCAAACTAAACTTGAAAAATATTTCAAGCACACATGATATCATAAGTTTAGAACAATTGAAATGTATGACTGAAGAATTAAAGTGAACTGTTGGATCCCAGAATAATAAAGCCAGATTCACTAAAGCTGTAAACATCTGTTATATAGAGATATAAGTTGTTTGTTTGTTCTTCTTTCTGACTCTCTGTTCGGTGTTCTCTGTGTGTGTTGTGAAGTCGTGTGTTATGTTGCTGATCGTAACGAGCTGCGCAGACGTGTGATCGAGTGGCTGCAGACGGAGGTTGTTCCTGATGGCTGGTTCACCAAGGGCTCCAACTTCACTGATATCCTCCTCAAGTACTTTAAGGTGTGTGCAATCATTTCATGCATTTGCCAGTGAGAATCTTTATTGTGGGTGGCACAGTGGCCCAGTGGTTAGCACTGTTGTCTCACAGCAAGAAGGTCGCTGATTCGAGTCCCGGCTGGACCAGTTGGCATTTATGTATGGGGTTGTTTTCCCTGTGTTGGCATGGGTTTCCTCCGGGTCCTCCGGTCTACCACAGTCCAAATACTATAGGCGAATAGTGTAAATAAAATAGGTTGTTCACTCTCAGAAATAAGGGTACAGGAGCTGTCACTGGAGCAGTACCTTTATAAAAGATACATATTGGTACCCACATAGTCCACAGTGGTTCCTAAAAGGTGCCTATTAGTACCCAAATGTACCCTTGAGGTACCATTATGGACTCTTCAGGTACAAATATGTACCGTTTGAAAAGGTACTGCCCCAGTGACATAACTCCTGTATGAGTGCATGTGTGAGTGCGAGAGTGTAGTGTATGAGTGTTTCCCAGTACTGGGTTGCAGGTGGAAGTGCATCCTCTGCGTAAAACATATGCTTGAACAGTTGGCGGTTCGACCCCTGATAATTAAGAGACTTATCCAAGGGAAAATTAATGATTGAATCTGTATTGTGTGATTTTACAAATATACTATTATCATGCTTGTTTACAGCATCAGGTTTTTGTGGCTCTTAAAGTCTTAAATCACTTTTTAGTTACGTTTTAGGCCTTAAAAAAGCAGAAAGTTTTAAATTCATACATTGTTCATGGCATTATGTTTGTAAGGATTTTTTTTCCTTGTATGTTTCATTTTAAAGTGAAGAGTAAGAATCATTTTTGCATTGAAGATCATCATCATCATCATCATTGGCACCTTCAGTGTTCACCGAGCTCGATAATGAGCTTGATTCAGGAAATCATTCGGATCATCATTAAATGATGTGATAATTACAGATTTCCTAATTTACTTAAGTCTGCGGGATGCAATGTGTATGTAATACAATGGTAATGTGTAGTCCTATAATGTGCGCTCTGCCAATATGCTAAATTGACTTTGAATTACAGGAGGCAAACACTCAGTGATAATATTTTTCACACTTTTTCACCACGTCTAGGTCTAAAGTCTAGGGAGCACATGAAGTATTGTATTTATAGCAACTTGTTTGACAGAACTGTCATAAAGGTACTAGGTATTGATATACAATGTGCTTGGTCACAAGGTAAAAGTTATTTCTGCGCTTTAGTGGTTGAATCAGAGGTGTTCAAGCCTTAACAAACCTAATATGAAATTAATTTAAAAGTAAGTTAGATCAGGTAGTATGTTTACTTTGTAATGTTGCTATAACACAACTCTTTATATGCTTCTGAATATTCATATTTCTCTTCATTTTTTAATTCTTTATTTATTCATTCATTCATTCATTCATTCATTCATTCATTCATTCATTCATTTTCCTTCAGTTTAGTTTCTTATTTACCAGGGGTCACCACAGCAGAATGAACCACTAACTATTCAGGCATCTGTTTTACATAGCAGATGCCCAGCCGAAACCCAGCACTGGGAAATACATTTTCTTTAGATGGTTTTAAAAATGTTAAAAATGTTTTTAAAAGTCTAAACTGTACAAACTGAGTATTTTCTTCCATAAAGTTATTAAAATAGATTCAAAAAAAAATAAATATATATATATATATATATATATATATATATATATATATATATATATATATATATATATATATATATATATATATATATATATATAATTAGTTAGCAAATGCAAACATGTTACTTTTATGCAAATTAGTGTACAATTAATTAGTCGATGCCAACTTGTAATTAAAATACATTTGTAATTCTTAATCAACTGTATGGTGGTATCACATTGTTGTACTCCATTTATACACTGTTCATCTGAAGTATTTTTCTGTAACCTTTCAAAAATGTCTTCTTTATAAATACCTTATAAAGACAAAATCTATAGAGAATACAAAGCGAATTCCAGATATCTACAAATTTACAAACACAAATGTTTGATCTCTCCTTTACATTGCTATCACACTGAAGTGCCCTCCTGAAACTAAAGGCATTTGTTGCAGCATCAGTTTGCTTTAGTTTCTTCAGCGTCAGGCTTTTTTTGTATATTAGCCTCCACGGGGAGTCTCTGCACCCTCCTGCTGCTCTTCAAAGTGCCTTCTGGATGCACCACATAATTTTTTCTGACAGCCTCCCAAGGCGTGTGAAATACTCTCAAATGACGTCTGTTTGCATAGCAGCGGTTTGAAGGGTCTTTTGATGGATCAGTCTGTTTCAATATTAGCTCACCTTTGCACTTGCACAGCTAAAGATAGCTGGAGAACAAGCCTCTGCAGCTGCCAGCACAATCCATAAATCTGACTGACCACTATCTGAAGACCAATAATCCATATGCTTGCTCAGATCAGTGTCTTACTGTACGTGTGCCTAGACATCTTTCTCTCAAAGAGTTGAAGTTCAGAAAACATAGGTTAGTTCACACAAAAATTAATTTGATAACTAAATGAATAATCATGCATTAGAAGCCAGTGGGATTTATTTAAACTCCTTTCATTGTATGGGGGAAAAAGAGATGAATATATTGATAAAATATATTGTATTGTATTTACATTTACATTAAATGTCCATTTCAACACAATTTCATGGCAGTTTGTAACTTCTTAATTTAATGGCAACAACGCTCATTCTGAAAACATCCCCCGATATACATTTCTGGAGATTGTGAATTATGTAGCCAGAGGTAGAACGGTTCCAGAAAGTGGGTAAGACAAAAACAGAAGCCAAAAGGTAAAATAAAAAAGTTAATAACAGGTTGAGAATGTGGTAAAAAATGAAAATTGGGTTTAGGGTAGTGGGTGGGCGGGTCGATCTGTGCTTTTAAAAATACTATGGCTGCGTCCGAAATCGCATACTTCCATACTATATAATATGTTAAAAACGGTATGCGAGCTGAGTAGTATGTCCTAATTTATAGAATTTGAAAAACAGTATGCGAGAAGTAACCTATTGACCAATTACCTCCGGCGAGATTCTGAAGAGCGCTATCCCATGATGCACCATGAGAGAATTCACGAATGGGAGGGAATCTGACATGGGCAGGTAACGTGATGATGACAAAATGGCAGTTAAAGTATGTCCGTGTTCCAGTTAAACTGTATATGCTTTTTTTACGGCCGAGTAGTATATTTAAATTCACTGAATAGTAGCTGATTTGGGATGCAGCCTATTAGTTGGGTTTAGGGAAGGAGGAGGGTGGGTCAGCCAATCACTCAGTTAGTCAGTCAGTCAGTCAGTCAGTCGACTAGTAGCCTCTGATGGATTTACATGAGAACAGCAGGCATGAATGGCACTCGTTTGAAAAATCTGGGATCTGAAAAAGTGTACAGAGCGGCCTCTGGTGGATTCATGAAAACAAAAACTGCAAAAAGGTCCCTCCTGGTGCGTATTTGGCGCTCTCCAGAAATGTACAGCGGTACGTTTTCAGAATCACCCTGGGCCTTTTTACTGTCTCATTCGTACATTTTAACATGATTTGCTTATCCCCCAATGATTTGGGGTTTGGGGACATACTTCCTTTTACAAATTGTTTGTTTTCATACAAATTCAAAGACTACTTTTTAGATAAAAGTCACCTCATAATTAACTCAACCTCAAGCAACTCTTGGTGTAGATTATTATTATTATTACTATTATTATTATTTTTTTTTTTTTTGTCAGATGAACAAAGTCAGAGTAGTAAAAGATATTATACTGGCTTTTTCATGCTCTATAATGGGGTTGGGTAGTGACCCTTTTTTGAAGCTTCTAAATGTGCATAAATCATCAAACTAAACTTAAAGAGCCCCTGTTATGGGTTTTTGAAAACGAGCTTCCACGCAGAGTGCAACACAGCTCAAAGTGAACATCCAGCTGAGGCTTAAATCTAAAAGTGCACCTTTTTTAAAATGATTGATTCTTTAGCAAAATAGTTGACTCAGAGTCGAATAAACGAATCGAATTGGGTTTGGATCTTTTGTTTGATAGCATCGACGTCTATATGGTATATCACCAAATATACTTCCAGTTCCGGTAAAATGTGAACGCGCTTTCACTTCAGACTCTGGCAGAGGCGCGGGGGATCACAGGACTGATCATGACGCGAAGATGACGATCACAGACAGATGGAAATTCGGCTGCGGGGAATAAAGGGTTAAAGTTCATTTTCACAACAAATCCACAGTATAGCCAATTTAGTGCTGTGTTTGTTCCTGTCATTTTTCTGATTTTTGATACAATAACCTACGCTGCAACACGGAATTTGACAGGCGTTTGCTATTAAAGGAGCAGCAGAGACTTTGGGATTTTATCAGTAACTTTTACAGTTCATACGGACCAGTTTATTCTTCCTCCAGATCATAACGTGTAAGCGTCATTAAAATTGTTGCCTTGTATTGTATAGTTGGCAAAATATGTGTTTAATTGTGTGTTATAAGTTGTAATCTACCCGAGTGGCTTGTAATCAAGCATCGATTATAGGTCAGTGCTTGAACTGTATCTCTCAGGTTAAATCTGTATGGGGCTGTTCACAAATTGCATACAAAACCACGACGCTTGCTTCTTCCTTTACCTATTTAAATGCGTTTCTGAACCGTTGATCCTCTGCTGTTTGTCTTTGCGATGGCCACCATCAGCAGTTCCTCACACACGCAACGTGGCCAATTTTCAAAATAGTTTAACTTTTGCCACTGTGTGGAATAATGCCGAATATGTGTGGCTGTTATTACTTGGGGTTAGGGTTAAGAGTAATTTTCTTGTGTGTAACTGCATTGCTTTATTGCATTCATGCATTGGGCTCTCACATACTTTCTACTACTTCATACTGTAGCTGTGGTGGGCATTTCTCTCTGTCTCGTGCTGAATGCAGTCAACCAATCGCAACAGACTGGATCATCAGACCAATCACTGCAGATAAGCTTCGCGCTAAAGAGGGGTTTGGGAACAAATTAATAG